TCCAGCCCACACCCAGGGGGGTGCCCTCACTCGCCCCTCCTCCAGCCCACACCCAGGGGGGTGCCCTCACTCGCCCCTCCTCCAGCCCACACCCACCTGTGCTGCGTGTCCAGCTGCTCCCTCAGCTCCTGGGTCTCTGACTCCAGGCCCTTCACCTGCATCTCCTGGTTCATGAGGCTCCACTGCAGCTCCGAGACCTTGGCCTTCAGCACACTGATGGTCTGGGGGGATGCCGGTACTTAAATGACAAGCTTGCCATGGCTGTGCCCACCTGAGCCCAGAAGGCTCTCTCTGACAGTACCGCGAGATACAGGCCATCATCGCCTGTGCCCTCAATTCCCTCCTCCAGCCCACACTCAGGGGCCCACACTCAAGGGAGCCTCTGCCCAGAGCCACCAGAGAGAAAGCCCTCAGCTGGACCCCAGGGAACTTCAGGTGCAAAGGGGCATTAGCCAGAACGTCAGGACACAGACAATTCTCCACAGCACATGCCACCCCCTGTCCCTCCCTCCCACGGTCCCACATTCTTCCCAGGTCTAACCCCAAGGCCACCAGCCTCTGCCCTGCTCTGCCACCATCCCAATCCGGTCTGCTCACACTGGACCCTGTTCTGTCCACACCTGTCCCAGCCCTGTTCACATCTGTCCTAGCTCCGTCCACACCTGTCCTGCTCTGGTCACACACTACCTCTCATTCTAGTATTGTTCCCACCCACCCACAGGCACTCTCGCAAACATTTTTTTGAAAGTCTTTCTACAGATGACAATAAAGAACCTTCTAGAACTCATCACTGGGGTCTGAGGTTACCCTCAAGATTCTCCTGCGGGACAGTCAGGGAGCAGAGCTGACGGTTCCCTCAGAGCTACAGAGCCCAGGCCAGCAGCTCTTCTGTCACCTACCACCAGCGCCATGTGACACAGAAAGGACTGGAAAAGGAAACCTGGGCCAGGGGCTACCCTGGACCTGGCCAGCATGGCCATCAGTGAGGGTCCAAGACTACCAAAGCACACTAGAACCATTCCAACTGATTTCCTAGCCTGACCCTGACCACCCCCCATCAGCCTGACCCTGCACCCCCTCTCAGTCTGGCCCTGACCTCCCCCAATGTGGCCCTGACCCCCACACCCCTGTCAGCTTGGCCCTGACCTCACCCAGCCTCCCCTAACCCACTCCTGGACACCCTTCCCCTTGAAGTTTTCCCAGCAGACAGCCAGTCCCCAGACAGGCCCCCCAAGAGGAACAGCAATACCCCACAGCAGCCCAACACCAGCTCTGGGACCTCGGATGAACTGAGAACAGAACGCAGACCAGAGTCCAGTCTCGGGAATAGTCCGGTCATCCACCCATGAGACACACACTCATCAGTCGCCCTAGAACGCCTCCCCACCATCCCCAGCTTCCTCTGGGGGTAACGATGAGAGCCCACCGCACAGAGGGCAGGAACAGCTAACACACCCACTGCTGCCGAGTCAAGTGCAACTCAGTGGCCCTCCACCATGTCCCCCAGGCTGCAAGCTGGCCAGGAGCGGAATGGCCATCTCTCCCACAGAGCAGCTGTTGACACTGAACTGTTGACCACGTGCTTAGAAGCCCCTGGGACCCGAAATTCTAACAGGAGTCAAAAACCAGAGGCCTTCAGACTGTGTGGAACAATGGGACCAGTCCTTGGAGGTGTCCAAGGGCCCACGAGACACCCTGGGCACTGGCTCTCTGCTGGGTCAGGGACACATGGGCTGTCTGACAAGCCAGGAGATGCCCAAGACAAGATGTGCCGAAGGTCGGGTGTGACTCGGGACCCAGCACCTCGGAGGAGGGCCATGCTGAGACCTGAGAGGTAGCATCAGTCTCAGAGCCCCGGCCGCCCGCAGTGCCTGCCCCTGGGCTGGGTCCCCTCAGCAGCCTCCTGCGAGCCCACGTCCCTCCCCCTGCAGCCACGTGAGTCCAGACAGTCCTGCCTTCTCAGAGCTGTGAGCTCCCAGGCGGGACAGGTCACTCACACCTGTCCCCACCACGGCCCAAGACCATCAATGGAGAAGGGGAAGCGGGAGCCCTCTTCCACCCAGCGGGCACCTAGCCTGCCAGCTCAGAAGAGAAGGTACAAGCTTCTCATGCCCCACCACCACTGAGGCAAAAACAACCTGAAGTCACTTTCCAAGATCCTTAAGTGGAGAGACAGAAGCAGGCCCAGAATACCAATCGCCGGATGTCCACACCCCACCAGCAACGTCTCGCCCACCCTCACTCAGCACCTGTGACCTCCACGTCACAGAAGGGACCAGGGGAAGTTGGAGGCAGCCCGCTCTGCCAGCACTGGGGCCTAATCTTTAAGAAGCCATGCCTCCCTCCGTGGGTGGGGACAACAAGGACGATGGTTCCCAGGTGCCATTTCACAGGTACCCAAGGGCCATCGGACACGGACAGACTTTGCCAAGAACAAAAGGTGTGCAGTGCTGGCTTTGGCAGCCCTAAACCTACTAAAACCGGAACAATACACAGGAGATTACTGTCCCCCGCACAAGGATGACATGCAAATTCATCAACAAAATGCACACCTGGCCACTTCCATCTGCTGAAAACCCAAGTTTCCCCAAAACACTGCTGTCGTGGCTAAGTGGACACCAGAACATTCCACAGAGGAGAGGGGTGTGATCCCCCCACTCGCAGTAAAACCAGAGGCTGGGGGTTCAGGTGGATCCGTCCACACCAGAGAACGCAACAGAAGCAAAGGGCTGGGGCGTGAAGCCCTGTGAGAGAACAGCGGGTGTGCGCGCACAGAAACGGAACACTCGAGGCCGAGAGCGCCTGGACGCGTCCGCAGCCTGGACTCAGGTCGCACTGGCATCTTTAAAGACGCAGACAGCCTCTCTCCCCCTCCAAGCAGCTGCAGGTTCGACTCTCACGTTCCGTTAGCAGCCAAGTGTTTTAACCACCACTTGAACCACAGCTCTCTGATAACAGATTAGCTGGCCTTTCAAGACGTAATCATCAAAATCATCTAAACATCAAAGCCCGAACGTGCACTCGGTGTGTAGACTGAAAACTGCAGACGGGAAAAGCAGTACCATCACTGCTGTGACAAGGAGCCCAGCAACAAGTGTTGGGCTGTGATCACAAGTTCAGTGGTTCGAATCCGCAGACGTGCAGAAGGCTTCTCTCTGTAGTCACAGCCTCGGCAGCCGGATGGAAGGTCGCCCGGGACTAGATGGAAGGTCGCCCGGGACTAGGGCGCTATGACAAGGCCACAGGCTTGTGCACACGCAGGAGGCACCACACGGCCCAGGCGGAACGCACCTCACCGGCCTCAGCCAGGCTGTCCTCCTTCTCGCGCAGCTTCTTGCTGGTGGCATCCAGGTTCTGCCGACATAAGCGGTTACGCTCCAGCTGCTCCTGCATCTTCTCCGCTGCCTCGGCCTCCCGCTCCTGCAGCTGCCGGATGCGGGTCAGCAGCTCCTGGTTCCGGTCCACCTCGCGCTGTCGGGAAGACAGGACACGTGGAGGTCAAGGGAGACCCCAAGGGACCTCAGTCCTCAGCACGACAGGGACCACACCTCAGGCAGGAGCCAGGCTCCTGTCCACGTCCAGGTTGGTGCCTTTGCTACGGGGGCCTGTTCCATCCTGATTGGCCAGGCGCTCTGGGGAGGGCCTCTGCATATATGAGCCCATGGAGAACTGCCTATCTGCCAGGAGGTGGACTCTGCAGGGAGGGACCTGGCGAGGAAAGCCTACACACAGAGTGGACCCTGGAAAGCACGTCTTGTGCCCCAGAGCCCCAGAAGCATCCTCACTGACCGTCACACTGGCCAGTGTCAGCATCTCTGAGAACAGAGGCCAGGTAGGGCAGAGCACAGACCACACCTGCAGACTTCTGGGCACCTGGAGGCTGCTGAGCTGTGCTGCCACCCACTTGGCTGGAGCAGAGGGCAAACCAGGACTCAATCACTCCTCAGACTCCAAAGTCCCCTCCGCCAGAAGCACAGAAACGAGGGAGCAGGAGCCAGCCCGGAGACAAACGTCATCAGTCCTGAGGGCAGCCTGGATGCTGGCCAGGGAACCCCCCTGGAGAGCAGCCTGAGGACCCCAAAGCCAGCTCACATGAGACAGCCTGGGCCACCACCTCCCAGCCCGTGTGCCCGACCAGGTTGGGTTCAGTCAAATCAGACAGCAAGCTCGACCCTCACCCTCAGAAGGACAGGCTACTTCAGAGCCACGGAACGTCCTGAAGTGGGGACCGTGGAACACGGGGACCCTCAGGGATGCCGGGACAGCGGAACCTCGTGGACACCAGGACGAGGGAGCCCCAGCAATGCTGGCAATTTCAGCACAAAGGGTCCTCAGAAATAAGAGGCCAGGGGACAGTGAGGGCCATGCAAACCCAAGACTGCTGGGAACTTTGCTAGCACAGTGCTCTGGACAATGTCACAACGCAGAACGTGGATCCCATGACCCCCGTGCTAGCAGCTTCCTCAGAGAAGAGCCAGCAGAGCTGTGACCACCTCACACTGGGCTGCTGCATCCCGTGAGCACTGGGGTCTCCAACAGCACGGGCCGAAAAGGCAGACAACAGGGAAACCAAGGATGAACACAGGCCAGGAAGGTCCTGCCGCTGATGTCTCTGAATCGAGACCCCCGCCTCCTGACCAAGGAAAGCCGCTCTGCTCTCCAAAGCCAACACCACAGGGCTCGTGGGAGGGCAGCCCCAGAAGGTGCAGTGAGTGGACCAGGGTGCTCTGGATGCCCACCTACCAGAGCAAGGAGGTGGGCAAAGGTCAGCTCCAGTGCAGAAGTACACAGCATTTCCACCTAGCAGTGCCCATTGGGAGCCTGGGCACACAGGAGTCCAGAGGCCAGTGGAGCAGGGTGGGCCTTGCCCGCTCCCAGGGCTGGAAAGCAAGGTGTCTCCCGCCTGAGGTGGGGCTCCCTCCTCCAGAGGAGGCTGCCCAGCTGAGACCTGCGCCCACCGCCCTATGCTCCCAGCAGTCCTGCTGTGTCGGTGCTCTGGTCCCTGTCACGGTGGACAGCAGGGCATCGAGGCTGCACACTGGACGGTGGAGAGCAGAGCACCGAGGTTGCACGCTGGGGGGGCTCCCAGCACCTCTGTCCAGCAGGGCAGTCCAGTCAGCCTGTGCAGAGGGACACTTGCATCCCCACAGCGGGCGACCGCACCTCCAGCCCCCACACTGCAGGCAGCACCCACCTCGTAGTTGCGGGCACTGGTGGTGGCTGCGCGCTCCAGCTCCACACGGGCCCGCTTGTGGCTCAGCTCCATTTGCATCTTCTCGCGCTCCACCTGGATGAGGTGTGACTGTGAGCGGATCTGCTCAGCGCGCTCCTCCAGCTGCGGGCGAGAACGAGCAGAGAGCAGAGGGCTTCAGTGTGGGCCCCTCAGCCCGCCCTGCAGAGCCCGGGAACCCGGCCACCGGCTGGGAATCTACACCCGTGCCTCCTGTGGACCCCGGCTGCTTGCCTTGGGATGCCGGTGCAGCTCCTGACCCACAGGCCACCACCACTCCCTCTGCGGGCTCAGGGCTGCCTGAGCACCAACCCCCTAATCACTGACCGGCTGAGGACCCGATTCACATCACAGGAGAGGCTCCTGTGGTGTACCTTCAAGCAGGAACCTAGGCAGCCCGATGCGTTTACCTCGCTGCATCGCTCCCAACCACCACTGGCTGACTCGGGTTTTACCCACTCACTGCCATCTGCTCACAGCTAACTGCAGCTGACCGAGCCCAGGGGTTTTCTGAGGCTGTAAATCGCACAGGAGGAGACTGCCCGTCATTCTCCTTGGAGCTGCTGGTGGATTTGAACTGCCAGAGAGGGTCTTCTTTAGCAAGACTCCCTACAGGCTACTACGCCACCAGAGATCCCTCAGTCATATCTTGGGGGACACAATTCAATCCATGACGCCCTCCAAGCCCGTGGGAGAGGAAACAAACAGCAAAGGGCCTGCCTGCTGGCTTGGAGTATTCATCCCGGCCCCTGTGGGCATTTAGAAACTGGACCTTTTTTTACTCTAGGAGACCTTCCTGTGTTCTGTGGGTGAGCCGCACCCAAGCCTACCCCTACATGACACAGACACACACTGGGGACCTGGCCATCACCCCAGGTCAGGAGTGTTCACACTGGGGACCCACCCAGGTTGGGACCTGGAAGAAAATCTCAAGGTTTCAAGAGCACCAGCCGGCCAAGTGCAGATGACCCTCACCTGCATGTTCTGCTGGTACTGCGTTTGCAGAGAGGCTGACAGCGACGGGCCCGTGGCCAGCCCAGGCTGGCTTTCCACACGCTGGGCGATGAAGTTGTTCAGTGACCTCAGGGAGGACAGGACAGTGGTGTTTTCCCCTAGGTCTTCCATCACCGCTGCTGTCTACGAGACAAAAGGGAGGTGACAGGAGGCCCCTCCAGGCGCGCTTCGCTCTGCCATCCAGAGGGCCTTGGGGGTTCCACTCCCCTAAAGGCTCTAAAGTCCAAGGTGGTACAGCACTGGTCTGTGTGTTGCTGTACAGAGGTAACGCGTGGTTGCTGTGGTGCTGAAGACTGTGACAGTGATGTGCCAATCATGGTAATGGGCACCCATGGTGGACAGTGTTGGCTGGAGCTTCCCGACTAAATCAAGTCTGGAAGCAGGAGCGGCATCCACTTCCAAAATGGCTTGCCTCTGGAAACTCTATGTACGAACAGTGCTCAGGCCGTTCGTTCATAGGGTCGCTATGAGTCGCTATGAGTCGTCTACGACTCGACGGCATCAAACAACAAAGGCTCTAAAACAAGAACATCTGAGAACTTCTGGAGCAGCATGCTACATTGTGACAAAGAGAAGCTGTCTAGGATTTCAATGTTCCTGAATCAACAATCAAGGCCAGAGGAGAAGAAATCAAAACGTTGGCATCAAGAAAGTCAGCTACAAAAAAAAAAAAGCTTTAAAGATGCGGAGAGCCGAGGTGCCAACTGACAGACAAAGGGTTCAAATCCACCAGCAGACCCACAGGAGGAAGGCGGACAGGCTCCTCCCACAAAGGTTTGCTGTTGTTGTGTGCCTTCAAGTAGGAACTGACCGACGCACACCTGACTCCCCAGTGGGTTTTCAAGGTTATAAATCACACAGGAGGAGGTTACCCATCTTTCTCCATGGTGTAGCTGGTGGATTTGAACCACATGCCTTTGTGCTGCCAGCGCAAATCTTTATCCACTGTCATCGTTGTTGAATACCGTCAAGTGGGAACCAACTCACAGCTGAGTCTCCCGCAGGTTTTCAGAGGCACTGAAAGAGGTCGCCCATCCCTGTCTCACGTGGCCCCTGGTGGATTTGACCTGGGGGCTGTGGACCTGCCTGTGGGTAGCACGATTACTCATCAGTGCGTCACCGGGGTCCTAAGGAGCTCTTAAGCCACTAGGTTCTGTCCATAAAGACTTACAGCGGGCAGAGGGAAGAGAACACAACAACCAAAGAATGACAGCCTCTCTGTAAGCTTTCGTTAAGATCGTAATTAAAATTAGAGAGCTCTGGTGGCCTCGTGGCAAGAAGTTGCACTTCAATCCCAGAGGTACACAATTCGAATCCACCAGATGCTCTGCTGAAGAAGGAGAGGCAATCTCCTCCTGTACAGTCAGATTCGATATGACGGTACCCGCACAAGAAATAATAAAACTTGTTTTTCATTCTTTTTAAAAAACAAAGATTTACAACCTTGGAAACCCAGTGGAAGGTTGCAGAGTGAGAACTGAAGCAATAAACCAACAAAGGCTGCTAAGGTCGAGCTTCTTCTCATGTGCTTATTTGCTCCCCAAACAAACGTCCTCTAAGCCGCTGTACTTTCTTGGTAAATCCACTAGCTGAGATGAGCTCTAACTCGCAGCACCCCAGGAGACTCGCAGAAGACCTGTGTCCTGCCAGGTCCTCATGCCTGCTCTACCCCACCCCGGCTACCAGCCCTTTCCTCCCAAGCAGGTCTGGACCCCAGCCTCCAGCCCTTCCATCCCTGGCCAGCGCGTCACTGCCCAGGCACACTAAAGCTCTCTCTGCACCCTTGAAAAGCTCCAGGGTCCACCGCAGTTCTTAGGACATGAACCAGAAGTCCACCTGCCCTGTTACCAGAAAAGAAGTGCAACCCTAAGATGGCACAAAAAGCCATCAGCAGCCAAGGCTCGGCCGGACTGGCCGGACTTTAGCAGGCGTCCCGGGCTCTGCAGGCCAAGAGCAGTGAGGCTCAGCGGGGAGCTGGCTGCGCTGTGACAGCCCATCTGTCAGTGGGTGCAAACCACCTTGCTTCCTCTAGAGAAGAGATGTGGGTGCAGTGAGGCCACCCTACCGCCGGGGCTGGGCTCGGCCAAAGCCTCTCTAGTGGGCAGATCGGAGGCGGGCCGGGGCTGGAGCAAGCTGGTCAGCGGGCTGGCAGGGGCCATGAGGGAGAGGGCCAGGCGAGGGAAGGGGAGCGGAGCTGGATGCTCAGAGGCACGGCCGCACCCCAAAAGGGCTGACCGGCGAGCACAGGTCCAAGGAGCAGAGCGAGGGGCACCGCCCGGGCGGGAGCCCCCGGGGGCAGGTCAGGGTCCCGGCCGGGGAGACGGGCAGAGGGTGCAGATCGGTGCGCCCCGAGAGGCGGAGGAACAGGACACAGGGGTCGGGGTCTGGCCCAGCACGAGAAAGGGGCAGCAGGGTCCCGTCGGGAAGAGGGACGACGACCGTCCAGTGTGTCCGAGGCAGTGGGGTCCCGAGCCGGGTCTCGGGGAGCAGGGTCCCGGCCATCGCGAGCAGGGACGGGGCGCCCAGCGTCGGAGAGGGGCCCCCGGGAGAGCAAGGACGCAGCGCGGCGCCGGGCGAGCACCCAGCCCCGGAGGGTCAGCGCCTCACCTCGTCCTGCTTGTCCAGCTCGCCGGGTCTCGCTCCTCGGATCTCCCTCCTCGGCGGGCGCCGCGTCTCGCGAGAGCTCAGGCGCTTCTCGCGATACCCGGCGGGCTCCCGGGGTCCGCCCCGCCGGAAGCTCCGCCCCGCGACTTCCGGGTCCCGCCCCCGCTCGGGGAGCTTTGTGCGGGGACACACGGACGCGGGCCTGGGCTTCGCGCGGGGACACACGGACGCGGGCCTGGGCTTCGCGCGGGGACACACGGACGTGGGCCTAGCCCGCCGCCCCGGCGCCCGTGGGCGTCCTCGGCGGCACGCAGCCTCCTGCCGAGAAGCGGGGAGGCAGCGCCAACGGTGGCCTCCGAGGGCCAAACTCCCTCGCTCTGGATGCGGCCGTGGGTGAACCAGTCTTAATCAACTCAAAGGCAGGAGGTTCAAGTCCATGATCCGCTCTGCAGGAGGTGCCATCGCGTGCCGCGCCACTTACAGCCTCTAAAACCCGCTGCAGGGTCAGCTCCGCGTGGCTCTGACTCCCGGGCAGGACATTGGAGTGTCCTAGGAATGACAGCAGCGCCTGACCACGGACTGACCGGATTGCACACGTTCACAGGGTCCCTGTGAGTCACAGCCCAAGGTCAGGGGTTCAAGCCCTGCGGCACCGCTGTAGGGAGCTGTCTGTCCTCCGCGGTGGCTTCTCTGCGAGTGGGCTGTGGGCGCCGGCTTGGCTTGGGTTTTCCTTTGCTGTGGACCGTTTCCCAGGCTGTGTTCCCAGGGCTCCACGGACCCCCGCCCCGAAGCACAAAATCTGGACTTCTGGAGCACAGCACAGAATGAGGGATGGAAAGAAAGGCAAGGCTGCTTGCAACGCCTGTGACTGCCCCTGGACTCAGCACTCGCCACACCCTTTGTAGGGTTCCTTCTGGAATCACAGAACCGTGTGTCCATTAAAGGAGGGCCCCCCACGCTTCTACTGACCAGGCTGCTAGACAGGTCCTTCGTGATTTCTGTTGCTGTGTGCCATTGAGTTGGAACTAACTCATAGCTGACCCTCCGGGTTTTCAGAGGCAGTGAACAGGAAGGAGGTGGCCTCAAACACTGATCCTTGGTTAGAACCCACAAAAGAAATAGTGGATTGCTCCCAGATAGCTCACAGCCCAGGACACCGACCAATGGTCCTGCAGGGTCACTGTGAGTCGGAATTGACGGCAGTGCATCTTATTTGGTTGGGGTCTCTTGACATAGACCCCTTCACCCCAAGGGCACTGGTTTTGAAATTCACATCCTCCCATCCTTCCAGCGTCCTGTTCTTGGCTTTCCTGTCCAATGACCTGGACCCGGATGGTCTGCTGAGGGCACACACACTGTTCTCTGGGTTGGGCAAACTACTAGAACCAGTGCAGAATTTAAAAACTGGCCTGGAGCTTCCTTCAGGGACCTGGACCAGGCCTGAGAGCTCTGGGTGGGGTTTCTGTCCTGTCCATTGGTCCCCGGGATTTCATCCCCACCATAGTGATGCACCAGGCAGCTCTGAGTGAGAAAGATTAGCAGTGTCCTCCTGTGAGATTTACAGTTCTGGATAGCCACTGAGGGTCAGCTCAACAGCAGTGAGTGAGAAAAAGTGCTACGTCCACAAGAGCCAGATGATGGGGGAGGAAGACCGGAAAGAAATTGATGCCTTTGAATTACAGCAAAGAATACTGAACAAACTGTCCAAAGAACCAACCTATGTTCAAGAAACACAGGCAGGACGCTTATAAGAAAACTGGAGACCGTGTCTCACATAGTCAGGGCACGCTATCAGGAGGAACCAGTCCCTAGAGGACAGCAAGCTTGGTAAAGCAGAAGGTCCATGAGAAAAGGACTCTTGGTGAGATAGACCGGCACAGGGGCCAAAACAGCCCAACCACGGCTGGTTCTGACGCTGGCGCGGGACGCAGTCATACAGGGATCACTGAGTGACAAGTCTGTAAACTCCTCTTGAGGGATGAACAAGTAATTTCAAGAACTCACATTTCAGAAGATCAAAGTATGGAAATCCCTTAAAATAATACAACTTTCTTTTTTTTATTTTATTTATTACTAGAGCAGCATCAGGTTTGTGGAAGAGCAAAAAACACAAACACATTGTTGCTTACAAATACCTCTCTAATCTGGGAGCCTGCAGGATTGCAGCAATTACACCTCAAGCAGAAGCCAAGGGTCTTAGCTGCCTAGTGCTGCTGTAACCGAAGCCCCACAACTGGATGGAAGGCTTTTCCACGGGGAAGCCTGAATGGAGAGCGCCAGCTCCAGATGCTCTGCCGCTCTCGGCGCAGGAGTCACTGTCCCTCAAGCTTCCTTGGACATCTCCTGTGGCTCCACTTCTCTGGCTTGCTTGCTCACCCTCCTTCAGATCTCATACATGCAAAACACCTTTTCCTAGTCCTGCCTCCCAACATTACAAAGTCAGCCCCCCAATATCTATTTGGGTGTAGGGGGAACATTTCCACCTCACATCAGAGATGTGCATAAATCCATACCATCTTGTCTCCTGACTCGCTCTACGAACTCTCTGCTTCAAGAACGGATTAGTGTTCGGATCATTCACCAGAGCTAAAACTGGTCCCCAGGTTGAAGCCCCCAGTTTTCCTATATCACATTCTGGCCCACTTGGCCACCTCGTGATATTCTCTTAGAGCCAAGGAGGGAACCAGCTTCCCTGGAGAATGCCCCCACCCCAGGCAAGGGAGCCGCCTAGAGCTGTAGGTTCTATGCCTCGGAACATTCCCGGGCAGGACTGTCCCCGCTTCGGTCTCAGGGTCCTTTTCATAAATCATCACCAAAAGACAAAGTGGTTCTCATCAGACACCTGGAGCCCTCAATGGAGATTTTTCATCTCTCTCTGGTTTGTTATGTGCCATCGAGTTGCCTGCGACTCATAGCGACCCTATGTACAACAGCCCTAAACCCTGCTCTGTCCTGTGCCAATCTCACTGTCTCTGACACACCTACCCCCATTACCCGGTCACTGAATCAATCCATCTCATCGAGGGTTTTCCTTTCATGTGCTGTCCTTCTACCCTGCCCAGCATGATGTCGCTCTCCAAGGATTAGGAAGAAAAAAACCCCTAGGTCCCCACAGGTCCCATGGCACCTCCAACAGCCTGCCTAGCAGCTCGCTCTGCAGTTGAAGAGGCCTTCATGCTGAGGGCCCTGAGGTGCAGTGACTGAGGCTGGCTCTCAAGAGAAGGCTACAGGTGCAGTCCACCCAGAGGCACTGTAGGGCAAAGGCCAGGTGATCTACTTCCAACAACCAGCTGCTGAAAACCCAGTAGGGCACCATTCTGCGAATGCTCTTTCACCTCAGGCAGAGGGAGCTGGGTGGGGCTGTCACTCCACCAGGGGCCCCTTTCCTCTCCGGTACCCGGTACCCAGGAGGTACACCTCTGCTGACTCCTTCCTGCTGGCCCTGGGCTTCAGCGTCCTCATGCCCTGGAACTCCTGTGCCAGCCGCTTCTGCAGCCGGAGGCTCTGACTGCCAGCCCAGGTTTTACACAGGAACACACCCCCCTGGTGCAAGATACGCGGTGCCAGGTCCAGAAGGGACCAGCAGAGGCCAATGAGCCTGTCGTGGTCCAGGTCCCGGATCCCCGTGGCGTTGGGAGCCATGTCACTCAGGATTACGTCTGCCCTCTGGCCAGGAAGCAGTGCCTGAATCCTCTGGTGGGTTCTTGGGTCCATCATGTCAGCAGGGCACAAAAAGGTTGCCCCTTCCAGCGGGGAGATGTGGAGAAGATCGATGCCCAGCACTGAGCCAACAGGAGCGCTGGGATCTGTGGGGAGACAAGTGAGGAGTATTGTTACACCCGCATCTTAGAACTGTCAGGTGGTACCAGTGTACGATGGCAGACTCCCCCCAAGCCCTGCGTCAACCTCACAGTCACCAATGGCTGCAGCCACGGGGCAGCCCTGCTCTCTGAGGTCAAAGCACACAAAAGAGCAGATATGCACGTATGCTAGTCCCCAGGCTGGGGAGGGCAGGGTCCTTCACACCACAGCTGCAGAAACGGGCCTGCAGCATGTTCCTTCCCACAGTCCTGGGGTGATGGGTGGGTTCAGGGCCCAGTCAATCCTGGTCCAGCTCGGACACCCCCTCAAGTCAGAGGAGGCAAAGGCTTGTGACTGACCTCTGCCTTCAGGGAGACAGCCATCACCGCACCATAGCCATTTCACATCAAGGTCAGTAGCCCCTCGGGAGCCCATGCCCCTTGGGAGCCATTCCCCTTGAAGCCAGCCAGGTGTGACCATCAGAACACTCCTTATGTGCTCCTGAATCAACCACAACTCAGAGGGACCCTATGAACAGCGGTGCTGAGCCATGGCAGGCCTACTCAAGCGTGCGAGATTGCCGCTTGCTGTGGGGTCACTGTTAATACACAGCCTCTCCACGTACAGAGAGCTAGCCTACCAGGTGGCCTACAGTGTGCAGGAAGGAACGCCATAAACCATCACACACAGCTAAATGTCAAAGCCAGCTCCAGGCAGGTAACAGCTAACAGATACACCACAGAGATATGATTCCTACAGCCACCGTCATATGGGACCAGAAGGGCAGCATTCGCCCAGGGAGAGAGCTCTGAAGGCGCAGGGGGGAAGGATGAGTGGTCACAGGAAACATGAAGTGGGCAGAGTGCAGTAACATCACGGGGATGGAGAGTCCGAACTGTGGAGTGGAAAACCGATTTGCTCATTTAAAATACACTAAAGTATCTTCTCTTTTCGGGTAAAATGCTTGTCTGTCAGATATCCCTCTAAAGCTAAACTTCCAAAGGAAGACAGACTAGGAAGAAGGATTGGCCATCCACTTCCGAAATAACAGGACTTCGAAAGACCAATGTATAATAATTGAACACTCTTAGACTAGTAGATAGGATGAGCTGATAGACTCAGTAGACTCAGTAACTGGGGCAAGTGTGTCAGAGACAGTGAGACTGGCTCAGGATAGTGAAGGTTTCAGAGTTACTGTCATAGGGTCGCTGTGAGTCACAGACGACACATAGCGTACACACACAGATATCTACACAAAGGCATCTTGATAGGTCATGCTTTCAAACAAATCACAATGAAACAACGTAAGACAAATGAGGACGACTCCACTCGTCCGTCAGCGCATGTGGGGTGGCTGTTGTCGCTGTGGTGCAGGAAGCTATGGCACCAGTATTTCAAATGCTAGCAGAGTCGCCCAGTGGGCAGGTTTCAACAGAGACTCCATACTAAGAGTAAGAAGGACTGGTCATCCACTCCTAAAATAACAGGCCTTCGGATGCACTGTGGATAACGGAAGAGCACAGTTGGATAGCGTGCCAAAGATGAACGCCTCAGGACTGAAAACGGGTGTCTCCTCACGGCAGCATCCACTGCAGTGACACAGATGGAGCAAAGCTTTCATCCAGTGAAGGCTTGTCATTTGCTGATGTGGCGAGACTCAAAATAAGGAGAAACAGCTTCAAGCATCTTCCATAATTGGAACGTGGAATGTATGAAGTAGGAATGTTGGAAAATTTTGAAGAAATTGAGGAGAGAAGATTGAAGTTGTTGACAATTTCCTTTTACATGGATCCACAATCAACACCCACGGCAAGAGGAGTGAAGACATCGAAAGATGTGCTGCACTGAGAAATGTGCTGTCAAGGACTTCTCGAAAGCGCAAAACTGCTTCCCGTCGCTGCAAGTTGGACAGTGATAGGATGACAGAAGCGTTGATGCCTTTGAATTGTACTGTCAGCGAAGAGCACAGGATCCAACGTGGCGTGCCAAAAGAACAAACAAGACTGTGCTGGAGAAAGTGCAGCCAACGTGCCCTCTAGACACAAGAATGGTGAAACTTCATCTCGCTCACTCCGACGTATTTTCAGGAGGAACCGAGACATCATGCTGGGAAAGGTGGAGTGTCAGCAAAACACAGGAAGACGTTCAACAGGATGGACTGGTGCAGCGACTGCTGCTCGAGCATGGCAGAGACTGGCAAGATGGTGCCGGACAGCGTGAGGTTCTGATTCATCAGCCATCGGTCACTGAGTCATAGTCAACCTGAGGGCACCTAACACAGGAGAGGAAGCCCCTGGATGAGACAGACTGACACAGAGCCCGGGCAATAAAGATAGGTGTGCTGGAGACAGTGAGACTGGCTCAGGATAGGACAGCGTTCAGAGCTCTGTGCATAGGGTCGCTGTGAGTCACAGGTGCTCAGGGCACATCACAACAGCAAAAGCAGAGGGTGGCTGCTAGTCTGCTCTGCTCATAGAACAGCTCAGTCAAAACCTCAGGAGATAAAGCAGAACCAACCCCGGCAGACCCTGAGCGCAGTTCCATTCTGCACTCAGGGGTTGCCGTGAATGAAAGGAGGCAACTCGTCTGGTGGTGCCGTGAGCGGGGTCCCCGATTTTCACGCTCTGCCCCTATCGTTATGAGCATTAGCCAAGCACCTCCACTCTGCATCACCAGCTGGGTCCTGGCCCTGTGGCGAGCCCAGAGGGAAGGGCTGTTGCCTGCATGTGCCCAGCCAGGCCCTGCTCAGAGTCCCACCTGTGCCGGCAGCATTGACGCTCTGCACTGCCACCTGACTCCAGGCCCCAGGCGCCGCCCCGCAATCCAGCACGTGGAGGCCGGGTCTCAGGATCCGGTGCCTCTCATTCATCTCCAGGAGCTTGAAGGCGCTCCGGCAGCGATAACTTTCCATCTTCGAAGCCTTCACAAAGGGATCCTTCAAGTGCCGCATCAGCCACAAGTGTTCAGCGCCTGTCCGGTTCTTGGGAAGGCTTTCAGCCATGTGGAACCTTGGAGCCTGAAGGGACACACATGCCAGCTTCCAGTGCCTGTTGACAAAAAGACAAAAGGATCAGCAAGTCACCAGCCTCAGGCTGTCTGTCCAAGCAAGCCTTTGTAGAGCTGACACAGAGAGAGGCAGGGACTGGACAAGGCCTCAAGGCAGCCAGAAACCCCAGTTAGCAAGGGCTCTTTATTTTCCCCTTCCCTTGAGGTGTCCTCAGAAAGACTTAACCAAGGGATTATGTTTATAGCTGCCAAAATATATATAAAAAGTCGAGGCCGGTGGCCCCTGCAGCCGCCTGGCCCAGCTCTGAACTCTCCTCTCAGAAGCCATGGCACTCACTCAGCCCAGGGTCCCCTTCATACGCCCTCCCTCCTCGCAGTGATGCCATCAGCCTCCCACTGTCAACTGCCCGGGGACGCTGTGATCTCTCCCTCCCTCTGTGACACGGAAGTTAAGTGCTTTAAAGTGCTTCTCTTTCTGGCTGAAGAGATCCCGAGGGCTCAGGGCTGGATGTTCTGCTCAATCGCTAATTAGGCGCTTACTGTGTGTCTCAAGCACTTTTGTCCCGCATCATCCGATATTTCCCTTTAATCCTCAACTGGAGGTTCCGAAGGACGCAATGAGCTCTCAACTACTAAACAGCGCCCTGTGAGCCTCACTCCGAGTCCAGAGGGAGAAAAGCCTGGTGATCTGCCGCCAGAAGAGCTCCAGCCGAGAAAACCCTCTGGGCAGTCCCTGTGCGCACACGGAGCAGCCTTCAGAACCAGCCGCACAGCCGTGGGCAGCAGCACCCGGGAGGGCACGGAGGCTCAGAGGGCAGAACACGGCCAGGGACTCCCACCTGCGGCCCGGCTCCCGCGCGCTCGCACACGCGCGCAGCAGATGCTCCATGTCCGCGGGCTCGGTCCCCGGCGCTCCCTCCGCAGCCCCGGTCGCTGGGGCTCCCACCGTAGCTCCGGTCCTCAGGACTGCGCCTGCGCGCCCGGAAGTGCCCGCCTCGTTCCCGGCGCGGAATCGTCACTTCCGGCGCGACGCGGAGAGCGAGCGGGCGCTCAGGGGCCGGTGCTGTGGACGCGGTTGCACGAACCGCGGCCGGCGCGGGGTGACCCGCAGACTTGGAGGCCGGCGCGGGGTGACCCGCAGACTTGGAGGCCGGCGCGGGGTGACCCGCAGATTTGGGGGTTCGCGCGGGGTGACCCGCAGATTTGGAGGCCGGGGTGACCCGCAGATTTGGGGGTTCGCGCGGGGTGACCGGCAGTCTTGGGGGCGCGCCTGGACCCATCTCCCGCGCGAACCGCGGCCGGCGCGGGGTGACCCGCAGACTTGGGGGCCCGCCTCGCCCCGGGAGCCGCAGCAGCGCGCACTTGCGGGCTCCGCCCCGGTGAGTGCCGCGTTTTCGGCGGGTGGAGCGCGGGGCGGCCGGGCCTGCATCTCAGGGGCGCGTTCTTCCCGAGCACCCCGAGCGTGGCCCCCTGAGCGTCAGGTCTCCACGTGGGCTGAGGAGTGAGGTCTGTGAAGCCCTTAGCGCGCTGCTCGGTACATTCCACCCTGAAAGGTCCAAACTCACTACCAAGTCCAGAAGCAGCTGACCTTCTGACTTTACCTGAGTGCCTCTCTGTGTTCCAGGAAAGAGTAAATAATCTGATTAATGTTTATCCCTGAACATGGTTTATGACCCACCCCAGGCGATAAAACAGGGCGGGCACAATAATACATGATGGCCTCAGGTCCTTCAAACTGCTGTGACCCTGGTTAGGTTAGGTTAGTGGACTTCAAGAAGAAATCAGAGAAAAGGAGAGAAAACTTACTGCAGCTTTATTAAAGGGGGGAAGGGGAGCTCCCGGGTGAGTTCCTCATCCTGGAGGGGCAGAATGGGAAGTCACACTGGGGAGGATTTTTATCAACAGAGCCTTTAGGGAGGGACATTCCACTCTGATTTACGAGCCACCTGCTAGCTTAGTCAGACAGTCAAGGCCGTTTTCTTATCTTCAACAGCAGGGCCATCAGCATTTGAGTTCTGAATTCTTCATTCTTCTCTTTGCCCAGACTAACACCCCCAACCTGCCAATACAGAATGGATAAACACCCTTCTCTTACCTTTTGGATTTTGGAGCTCCATCTCACACACTTTGGGCACGGGGTCAGGAGGGACCAGTCCTTGGAGAAGGACATCATGCTCAGGATGGAGGGATGGTGCAGAGAGGAAGACCGGGATGAGGTGGACTGTTGCAGTGAGACAGTGCCTGGGGCAGTGGGGGTCAGTGTGTCAGAGGGGCTGGCTCAGGACAGGGCAGGTTCAGAGCTGCTGTACGTCGGGTGGCTATTATGTATGACTCGAGGGACTTAAAAACAGCTAGCCTTTGTGCTGCAGGGAGTTGCTGTGCCTCCTGCTAGGGTTCTCCTGGACTTCGGCCCTTTCAGTCAGGAAAATGGGATCGCTTTGGTTTCCGCCTCACACCGCCCCTGGTGACCCCGTGAGCTGTGCGCGTGACAGTGGCCGATGTTTTGGGCTTCACTCAACAGATTTAATTTTGAGGCCCCCTGGGCAGGCCCTCACTTCCAAGCTCTCACTCAGCAGCTGAGCAGCTTGAGTTTGCATGTTTGCAGACGCCACGTGGTGTATTTGTTACCGTGGAGTTGATGCCAGTGCCTGGCAACACAAGTGAAGTGCACCTAGGGTTTCCTTAGCCGCTGGCCTTGAGGGAGGAACTCTGGTCAGTGTAGAGGCTGCAAACCAGAAGGTCACTGGTTTGGATCCACCAGCTACTCTTGTGACGTAGCCTCGGAAAACTATAAAGGGTCTTTATGATTAGGGTAGTTTTGGTTTTTCATTTTTGCTGAGAAGTCCTGGTGGCACGTGCTCCGCTGCTCTTCTGCACAGAGGACAGCTTCGGGAACGGGCAGACTTTGTCCTGCAGGGTTGTTGAGGGGCAGTATCCAGCGATGGCAGTGTGAGGTGACGCAGGGACGGATCGTTAGGTCTTCCCTCTGGTACGGAGGGCTGGTGCGTTTAACCTTTCAGTTGGCATCAGAGTACTCAAGCACTGTGGCCCTTCACATAGTGTATAATAAATATTACCTGATATTGCTAAAGTCCTCAGCGTCTGCTCAGGGTGTCAGAGTTTGAGGCACAAGCACAGGTCTGATGATGGCTGCAGACTGAGGCTAGTGAGACCTTTTGCCTTCCTGACTGTCCCCTGCCACCAGGACACACTGAAGGTCCCATTTATCGGGAAACACAGCTTCCCAGGTGAACCCTAGTACTAAATCCTGGGTGTGATCCCCCAAGTCAGAGGCACCAGAATAGGAAGGCTCTGGGGGAGATGCCCCAGTCCTCCATGGGAGACCCAGGCAGACACACATTCTTGTTGCCTTCCCATGGATGATGTGACCCCAGGCTCCTCCTTCCTGGGTACCAGGCCCAGAGCAGCATTGGTTCCCTACAGAAGATGAGCTCATTTCACAGTGGGGAAGCCCAGCCTGGGCTGTGCAGCTACAGAGACAGAACCAGATCCCAGTCCCTGAAGATCCCTAGGGTGGTGGGAAGGCCAAGGCCACATGCAGGAGAACCACTGCAATCACCGGATCCTTAACCGGGTGCCAGATGGGCATGGGGACTGTTCTGCCCCTGCATGCAACACTCAGGCTAGGCGTTGTTGCAGCCTTCTCTCCCATCCACCTGCCCTGTGGGGGGGCTAGAGATCACCCCCCCTTGCTTCCTGTCTTCTAGCCTCATTCCCTTCCACTTGCACACCCCAGTACACAAGGGGGACAGCACATCTGTAGACAGTCACGGCTGACCTGACCCTCTTGTCCTCACAGGCTGGAGGAGGAATGAGTCCCACCAGGCTTTATACTCTGGTGCTGGTACTGCAGCCCCAGCGAGTTCTGCTGGGCATGAAGAAACGAGGCTTTGGGGCTGGCCGCTGGAATGGCTTTGGGGGCAAAGTGGAAGAAGGAGAGACCGTTGAGGAGGGGGCCAAAAGGTGAGAGGCAGGTAGGGGTGACCACCGACCCAGCATCCACACAGGTAGGAATTGGCACAACAGAGCCAGCCTCTGATTTCACCACATGGAGCCTGTGGCCCAGCGCATGTCCTTTCACCCTGCAGCCTCGGTTTTTCCATCTGTGAAATGGGCCTCAGGCTGAGCTTAGAGATACTGCAGTTTCGGGTCACAGGCTTTCTGGTTTCCCAAAGATGTGTACACTGTCACTGCAGCCTGTTAACGAGCCCTGGTGGCCTAGTGCACGGCATGCTGAGCTGCTCAATGAAAGGCAGGTGGTTTGAGTCCAGCTGCCACTTTGTGGATGAGAAGTCCACCCCTTAAAGATTTTCAGTCTCCATAACTGTGGAGGGTCACCAGGAGTCGGAATTGACCCGGCAGTCCCACCCGTGTCATCTAGTAACGGCGTGGTGGCCGTGTGCGCACCGTTGTGATGATGTGCTCATCAGCATAACCGCTGACTCATGGGCAGGGCGGAAGCCTTTTGAGAATCCTGCCCTCGCAGGTTTGTGAGGGTAAGGTGAGGTCACGTGTACAGACATTTCACTCCACCAGCTTCATTGCCTTGGAGTCAGCTGACTACATCTGAGCTTTCAGCTGTGAGGTCATTGGGGCCCCGGGCACCCTCGGCACTGGCTCACTTGCTGAGGTCTGGCAGGTCCGGCAGGGGAGTGCCTGCTGGGACTCTGGAGGACATGAGGCCAAGCAGGATGGGCTTTGGGTCACAACGTGCCTCTGAGGGAACGGGGTCTACAACACCAAGCACAGGAACACCCGGTATTGCTCAAGTCCCAAAGCGTAAGGATCGCCCACCTCAACACCAAGCTGGTGCCCTGAGGTGAGTGCAGACCTCTCTTCACCGTCCAGCCCAGCCTCCCCAGCACCCTCTGCATCACCAGGTTCAGTCGGTCACTGCACTGACAGCAGGCAAACCCTGAGCACACTCAGGTGGACTGGGAAGTGGTGGGCTACAGCTCGGATCAGAAGGCTCACGGGTGAGGTCTGAGGGGTCAAGGTGGAGGAGTCCAGAGTGGCCAGCATGTTCCTCCCTCCCAGCTCTTGGTGCCCCTCCACCCCCGTCAGGGCGTGGGCTCTTTTGCCCAGGGGACAGTCAGGAAGGCAAAAGGTCTCACTAGTCTCAGTCTGCGGCCATCATCATCCTCCTCTGATGAGTTTCACTTTACACAGTGTCGGTTTTTACACTTCTTGCACGTGCAATTCTCAGGGCAGTTCATGCCAGCAGGAGCACAAAATGACCAGTCCTCTCAGGGACCACACATCATTCACCTTGACTAGTGAGCTGATCCCTGCAGGGCGCAAAACACAGACCAGTCACGGGGCAGACTGCTGTTGGGATCAGTTACAAGAGTTAGGACCAAGATCCTGCATCTCAGGCCGCAGATACAGTCAGCCTGGACAAAGCGGCCCTCCCTCCAACGTGGACCACCAGGGCGGAGGTGATGCCCAGGCTGAAGAAGGTGGTCTCCCAAGCTGTTTCTTCAGAACCTCTGAGGTGAACGGTCCCATGGAATCCTTTGAGACAGCCTCCCAGCACTAGGCAACCCTGTGCTGGTGTTGAGGGCCTTATCCTGGGCTCCTGCCCCATCTAGAGAACTGAGCATCGCAGCCACACAGCCACCATCTAGTTAACCCACCTGTGACATGACCTTACCCCACCAACGGGATGGTGGCACGTCCCTAACACTGGCACACACTCAGGGAAGGTGAACTGAAACTTGAAAGAATCTCATCAGTGTGTGGGCTCTGCCAGCTGCTGGCAGAGGCAGTGAGGGTCTCACCAAACACCTGGTGTAAGTGAGGAACCAGTCACATCTCCAAGCGAAGACCTGCAGGTGTTAGGTGAGAGCTTGTTTTCATTCACCCTCTAAGAGTCTCATGGGGCTAACACATCTGAATCAGCGTTGGTGGTGGTAGGTGGGCAAGTCCAGCTGTGGTCACCTTGTAGAGGAGAGCAGCAGACCCATGGGGCTCCTGGGAGGGTCCCTGGTGCCACAGTGACTGTCCAACTTCTAATCCAGGGTCTGCCCTCTGCTCCACTCTTGAGGAGAGAGTGGGCTGTTTGCTCCCCTGAAGCGTTACAGCCTCCAGACACTCCTGGAGCTCTCTGGCTCTGTCCTACAAGGTGAGGTCACTCAGTGGCCATCAACTCAGCAGCAGCGGGTTAGTCTTCAGTCCTTACGGGACCAGACTCCCAGACCTTTGTCCACAGCCAGTGGATGGAACTGGCAGGCCGTGGGTTAGCAGCTGAATGTCGCCTTGAATCAGCAGAAGCCAACATTTCCTCCCTGATGAGGTTAAGGAGCCCATCACGTTAAGTAAATCCATTTCACCCCTCGTGAGTTTTTCTTTTTAAAGTGAGCACAGGGGCTTCTGACTGCTTCCTGAACCCACTGTCAACAAGCAGCTTGAGCTCACAGCAACCCTGGAGGGGCTCCAAGGCGGTAGTTGTAGTTGTCGAGCATTTTATTTATCTGGACCAGCAGTGGACACTTGGAATCAAACGATGCACTGCAGTTAGCAGATTGCCAGGGGACCATGGTGTGCCTGACCCAGGCCACGGGATTTTCACCAGCTTCCTGTGCATCTGAAAGGATGTCAGAAGAGCCAGGGCCCTTGTTAACTGCCAAGAGAACAGACGGGTCAGTCTTGGAAGAAGTGCAGCCCGGCCTCTGAGGCCAGGATGGAGAGACTGTCATTTGGGGCGTGTTACCAGGAGGGGCTGGTCCCTGAAGGATTTGGTAAAGATGAGAGTGAGAGAGATGGATACAACAGTGGCCTTAGCTCGGGGTGACGAGAATGCACGGTGGGCAGGGCCTCGTGCCACGCACCCACCAATGGCTCCTGATTCTGTGACAGTCTCTCCCAGAGGAGTGTGGGCTCACACTTCTGGGTGGCAATTGACCTGCTGGACTGCACTTGGCCTTCAAACTGTCCCTAACACCACTTGGAGGTGAAAGCTTCGTTTTTTTCAAACGTAATTGGAAATGATCAAGGAGAAGCAACATTTTTACAAAAACAAAGTAAGTGCTGGGCAACAAAGACAAGAGAAGTCACAGTAATGAGGGCAGGACAGACTGGGCCCACAGTCGAGGCGGCACCTGGGAGGGGACACGGCCGGGGTCCACGAGGGAACACAACTGGCACTTATCTGGAGGGAGAAAGGCTGCACACTGCTGCTCAGTGCAGGGTTCACCACAGAGGGCTGTGTGTCGTTGCTGTGCGACAGGACAGTGAGAAATGGCCAGGGCAGGTACTGCTTGTCCAGGCCACACCCACCCACCACGGCTCATCCTGTGGTCCTGGCGGCTCAGACGTTGCCCTGTCCTGGCCCAGGGAGCTGCTGGAGGAGAGTGGGCTGACCACAGACGAGCTGCACGAGGCCGGTCGCATCACTTTCGAGTTCGAGGGCAGCCCCGAACGCATGGACGTGCGCATCTTCTACACCGACCATGTCCAGGGCACGCCCACGGAAAGTGACGGTGAGTGTCCTTCTCATAGGGTACCCACACCTGGGGCTCTGTCCTGTGTGCAGTGAGGGCCTGGGGTGGCACAGTGACTGTCCTCTGTAGAGATGCGCCCACAGTGGTTCCAGCTGGACCAGATCCCCTTCGCCCACATGTGGCCTGATGACAGCTTCTGGTTCCCGCTCCTCCTCCAGAAGAAGAAGTTCCTCGGCCACTTCTGCTTCCGGGGCCATGACACGATCGTACAGCACACACTGCAGGAGGTGGATCAGCTCTAGAGGGGTGGCTGCGAGGGGCACTGGCTGGGGGCCTGAGTGGACGGGCTGAGCTGGGCTTGGCTTCCTTGTTGGCACTCAATAACAGGAAAAGTCAGTGTCTGCTTTGTAAGCTTGCTTTACTTAAAAGGTCGGGGCCTCCCTGTCCCACGTGCGGCAGCTGCAGGCGAGCACAGAGAGGCCATGTGGGGCTGTGAGCAAAAGGCACTGAGCAGGGGACACGGTGATGGCGATACCCAGGCTGGCCCTCCAGCTACCTCTGCTGTCTGCTGGGGGGCAGCACAGCCACGTGCAGCTAGTTCTTGGCATCCTGGGTCAGCTAGCAAGTGGGCTGCTTGCCTGCCATACCTGTGCAACCCCCAGCAGCAGGGGACAGGCCACCTGCTCAAACAGCCCCTCCAGGCTCGGTGTCCTCAGGTGTCCCTGCAGGCTTCACAGCACAACTCAGTGCCAGTCACGAGGCACGAAACCAGTCCTGAGAGGAAGCAGAGGCCTCGTGTCTGGGAGACATCCCAGCAGGACATGGGACTGGATGCTGGTGTCCTGGGGCTCGTGCTGCCGCGGGCAGGCAGAGTAGGCTGAGGACCCAGGCCCACACAGCAGGCGCTGTGCTATGTGACTTCAGAAGCCTGCTGTACTCTCAGCGGGCCTCCACCCCCACACTGAGACCTGAGTGTAAGGAGAGGACAAAGTTGGTCAGGGTTCTAAGTGCTGGCCCTGGGGACCCCTCTAAGCCCTGGGACTTGGCCACATCTATGCTGGATGCAGTTGGAAGTTTCATACCTGTCAGGCCCCAGGACACTGAGATGATAGGAGAGCCAGGCTAGGTGCTGCATATCAGAGGCCACAAGCCCAGTGAGACCCACCTGGAGCCCCGTTGGTCAACAAGACCATGGACCCAGTGTGGCCAGCTGGAGACCTCAATGTCAGGGAATGGCAATGGTAGATGGACTGACCAAAGTGGAGGCTGGCTCAGACACCAGATGACCTGTCCCCTCACCCCGAGAGGTGGCAGGGTTGGGAGGAACGTCCTCAAGCAAAGAAGGGGTGCTAAGGATGCTAGCTTGGGGAGCGAGCGTCAGTGGACAACCCCCCATGTCCTGCCTGTGGTCTGGTGCAAAGCTCTGCATCATACAGCGGGGTCAGGCAGGTGTGTGCGTGCGTGTACACATGCAGGGACTCCCCAGCAAGTTCCCCCTCGCGCGTTCGGCCCCCTTCCCGCCCATGTCCACGCTCAGATGGGATACACATGCACACAGACACAAGGTCACACACCAGCATGCTGTGGCCGCCTGGCCACCACAGCCTTGGGCCACCCCCACCTGCTCAGCAGACTGCACCGCGCAGGTGTGTCTGCGTGTCCCCACAGGGGAGGCACCCCTTGGCTCTCCAGGCCGCAGCGTGGGATATCCGCATGTGAGGGGAGCAGCCCCGTCTCCGTACTGAGACCTCAGGAGATGGGGCCTCTCACAGGAGGACACCAGCCCCAAAGAGCAGAGTGGTGGGAATCACACGGGGACACGCCGTTTGTAAACACGCTTTAGTGGGGAGGGTTCAGGGCACTAGCGGGGCAGCAGGCTCTCCTCTGGGGGTGACCGGGGCCGTGTTGGGGGTCCGCTGGAGCCAGAGAGCAGGCAGTGCAGCTTGGGCTTCAGGTCCGTCCACACCTTGTTCATCTGCGGGGGGGGGGGGGGTGTGAGAGCACATCCATATCCACGTGGGTCAGCATGGGGCCTCCATGTCGGGGCAGGGGCGACCATGGCATGTCCATATAGGTCAGCATGGGCCTCAGCTCCACACCCGATGAAGCACTTGGTGGCCCCGTGACAAACAATGTCCTGAAGACAGGTGACGGTCCACAGCTCCCTCAACAAGAGCACAACCCTCACAGGTAACGAGATGGGTGACCAGGACTGGATGCCCCACGGCCTGCAGCAGGGCGCTGGGCTTCACAGTCACCATGGCCCCTTCCCACCATGAGAGACAGACAAGCAGACATCCTGTGAACGGGGGGCTCTGAGGCCACCATCAGGTAGCAAGAGGGGCCACAGGATGACAGGCCACTGGAGGCTCAGCGGCACACTGCTCCCCCAAGCTGTCAGCCTTCCAGGTGACCCAAGTGCTGGACACCAAGGGCAGGGGGCAAACTCACCTCCTTGTGTCCCTGGATCTGTGAGTTGACGAAGGCACCCAGGATGTGGGAGGTGAGTGGCAGGTAAGCGTGCACCAGCTGGGTCTCCTGGTACAGGCAGTACAACGAGAAGTGGCTGCGCAGCTCCAGGGTCTGGATGGCATTCTCCTGCTGCGGGAGGGGAGCACGGGGCACCAGCTGCCTGGGAAGGGGCACAAGACCCTCCTCTCCAGCCCGCCCCGAGAGCCTGCAGCAGTGAGGAGTCGGGCCCCAGTGCTCCAGCCGTCCTGACGCACACAGACAACAGCTGGGACCTAGATCTCCTACCTCCACTAGCAGCCACGCATGGGCCCAGGCCCCTCCCGCAGGCCACCCCATGCCTGCCCACCTCCAGGATGCAGGATTCCAGCTGCTCCACGGATTCGGGTTCCCGGCCGCTGCCTGCCTGCCGCCTCGCCAGCATGGACCGGTATAAGGCCCGCTGGTGCCGGTGCAGCATTCCCTTCTCATGCCGCTCGCACAGGTCCTGGGGAAGGCCACCCTCAGTGCGAGACCAGACCCACACTCCCAGGTCCACTCGGACCGCAGCCAGCCTGCAGGACACAGCCCGACTGCCCGCGGGGTCTCCCTCCTCACAGGTAGACCCCCTCAGCTATCTCCCGCACTGCTGTGGACCCTTTCCGTTAACAGCCATACACCTTAGCCACCTTGCCACCAAGACCCCTTCCAGTAAGGATGACCCAAACCCACTGCCCAGTTGGAGAGCAGGACTGCCTGCAGGGTTCCCACGTCTCATCTCTGTAGAACGCCCGGCCGCATTCTCCCACAGATGTGAGGCATGGTGGAGTGAACCACCGACCTTTGGGCTAGTGATCCACTACCACAGGGCTCTTTCAAACTCAGGAGGTGGGGGAAAAGTAACAGAAGGTTTTGCAGAAATAGCACATTAATTTCTTATGCGCATTAGTCATATTGGCATGTTACTTGTGGAAATGTGGTGTAGCTAGGAGGGCGAGGGTGTTGCTGGACCTCAGGCCTCACACACTGTCCAGTTTCCCGACTGCTATCCACTTCCTGAACAAGAGGCCTCAGAAACTACGAACTTGATAAAGACCTCAGGCTTTTTGTTCATAGAGTCACTGTGAGTCGTGCTCATAGAAGACAATCAACAAGTGGCCTGTGAAGTAGTGATCTGTGCCATCCGCACAGAGGCAGGGGGTTCGAATCCACCAGCTGGCACTCTGTGGGGGAAAAATGGACGGTCTCTCCCGTGGGATTTCCTGCCTCGAGGGTCAGCTGTGCGTCAGTTCCAGCATGGCAGTGATTAGTGTCTTCTAGAGCCGTGGGCGCTGCAGTGGTTAAAGCACTCAGCTGTTAACGGAGAGCTTAGAGGCCCCGCTGAACACAGGCCTGGTGACCCACTTCTGAGAAAGCCATGAAGCCCCTGAAGGTTCCACTCCGACAAGGGAGTAGGGCAGGAATCTGGGTGGACTGGATACCCAGCTGGACTTTGGGATCTGTGTCCCTCTCCACCTCCAAGAGACAAATGTTACCTGCACTGACCTGGGCTGCCATCTGGCACCCTCCTGTAATCCCAGAGTGGGCAGCCCACGTAACAGCTGGTACCACAGATGGCCTCTCCACTGGGGTACCTTCCAGGGGCCGTGGTGCCTGGCCGTGGAGCCCCTGGGACATACAGAGTTCCCCCACTGAGCAGGAGCATGGTGGCCTAGGATCCTACCCTCAGGGAGACGTGATCTCACTGTCCCTGACCACTGCACACCTGGAGAAGGCAATGGTGTCAGCAAGCCAGGCCCAGACCACCTGCCCTCAGAGCTGTCCAGGAGCCCCAGCCCAGCCCCAGCCTTTTGGCCCTTGGCCCGTCTTGCCTCCTCCCCATGTGTTCTCCTGGAGGCACCTGGGAAAGATGATGTCCCCAAGCCCATGGAAGCTGGACACACCTTGTAGGACTGCAGCAAGTCCAGAAAGAGGTTGAGCTTCTCCACCACATCACTGTCGCCCAGCTTACCCTGCAACGGGATGAGCTGACATGGCCCCTGACCCCAGCAGCCAGTTCTCTCAGCTTGAGGGGCAGCTCTGGGGCAGAGACGACCTAGGGTCATAGCCCTAGGATGAGGAGGACTCTCTAGATGAGAGGAACTGGGATGAGGACCCTTGAGGTTGAGCGTTCCACGGGGTGGGGGCACTCTGGGGTTAGGGGCCTAATGGGAGGCCATGGAGTTGGGGGACCCAGGGGCTGGGGGAACTCGGGGTGGGTGCCCTGACGGAGGAGTAGGTAACTCAGTTTTTGGATGGGTCGCCCAGGTTTCTCGGCATGGATGAGTGGGCGTGGCATCTGTCAGTAGGACATTCGCCACTCCACCAGTTCCTGGAGCCTTGTTTCCCCATCTTCAGTGTGGCCTGGACTTCTTCCCTCATTGCCGTCAGGTCTTCATCACCTGCCACCTCCCGAGATGGCTGGGCATCGACCATCCTGGGGTCAGTGACAGAACAGGCTACAGACTAGTGCCCAAAGCTCTCATCTTTCACATCTGGGTGCTTCTACATCGTTCTGCCCAGACTCCTCCAGCGGTGCGACTCCAGGCTCGACTGTCTTCGTGAGTTCTTTCACCTGACAAATGCCAAGCGTATCCGCCCTTTTTGGTTTTCCAACTCCAGGTCTTTGCAGATTTCACTACAGCACGTTCTCTTCCGAGCCACCTGGGAACCATCTGGTCATCTGCTTCCTCTACCTCCTTTAGCTGCTTCACCGGCTACACTCAGCGAGGTTTCTCAGCCTCCCTGCTGGCTTTGCCCTTTCTTTCGAATGGCCATCTGCTCTCTTCATGTACAATGCCCCTGATGACACCCCAGTTTGTCTGGTCTCCAGTCATTACTGTCCCATGCTTCAAGTCCACTCCTGAGAGGACGTACTCAAGGTCTGACTTTGGCTTTTATGGCTAGGTGGTTAAAGTGCTGATCTGAGAATGGAAAGAATGGTGGTTCAAAGCCACCAGTGCTTCAGGGAGAAAGGTCAGGCAGCTGTTCCATGGCGATGTCCAGCCTGAGAAACCCACTGAGGCAGCCTTTCTCTGTCCTGCAGGGTGGCCTGTGGTCACCATCCCATCTAAGGCAGTGGGTTTGGCTGTGTCATGGTGGAAGGCAGGAGATAGTCGGGTCAGGCAGCCACTGTGTCCACCTGAGCCAGAGGGCCCGTAGTCAGATGCACGCTGAGGAAGACAACATGTGAAAACCGACCAGAACGAGTCTAGGATTCCCAAGACCAAGACCACGTTCCTGGCTGGACACGGGCCCAACCTGACTCCATTCTCAGGAGACCAGAGCAGATCTGTCATCAGACATCACAGGGGCCATCCTGTAGTCACTGCCGCGTGCTGCTGGAACAGCAGTACCACCAGGGGGTGGCTTTCACAGACAGGGATTTCCTCTCTAGATGTCCATGCTCGGGCACCAGCTCTCTGGCTAAGATTCCCCTGTCAGAGCTGGGAGAAGGGCTGTTTCCTTCAGCACCACAGGCCCCCAGTCCTTGGGGCTCTCTGTACCCTGGCCTTCCCTGGCTTCAAGGGGCTTCCAGTGCAGGACTGAGCTCCAAAGAGCAATGGAACTCCCGTCCGGTCTTTCTTATTAGCGCTGAAGTCGTCCTGGGCTCCCATCCTCTGTGAGAGAAGGCACTACTGGCCACACCCCAGCATCCCCCAGGGAAACCCCCTGCCCTCAGATCAGGGCCTGGCCTAGTTAAGACCCCGTCTCCCAGCTGGGTGCAGCTGGCTGGCCAGTCACATCTCAGACCACATCAGCCCTCACTTCTGACCCAGGGCACATGGATGACTTCACTACATGGACAGTCAATGCCCAGCCAAGTGTGTGTATTTCTGGGGACACAATTCCAACCAGGACAGTCGGAGCCAGCGTCCAGACCTGGAAGCAGCTGCTCCCTTGACGACAGGCCAGAGCCCCAGGCCCAGGAGGCGTCGTCAGCCGGAGCGCTGGCCCAGCACCCGCTCACCTGTTGTGCAGCCTTGTCGGCCAGCAGTGCGAACTCCACGGACAGGCCCTTGAGCGCCTGCTTCAGGACCCCCCACGTGCTGCTGCTCAGGGCGGCCCAGGGGGGCAGCGGGGTCGTGTCAGACCCCAGCGCACTGGGACATGGTCATGACGGTCATCACACGGCTCCTCCAAACAGCAGGCCACCCTACACCAGCCCCTCTACACCCGGCCACTCAGCTCGGTGGCATGGGGACATCGCCCACCCTCGGCCACGCGCTGACTTCCAGCAGAAGCAGCTCCATGGCCATGCATTCTGGTGGGTGGGGCTGCTAACCTAAAGGTCAGGGGTTTGAATCCACAAACCGCTTCTCAGGAAAAGAATGAGCAGTGGGCTTGCGTCAGGACTCACAGCTTCTGAAGCCCAGTGGAGGTGCCCTGGGAGACAGACTCCACTTCTCTGAGTCCACTGGACCCTCCCTGGCCCCGCGAAGCTGCAGGGTCACTTGCCTTAACTCCTTTCCGAAGATAAGCAGGTCGGCCGCGTGGTCGATGGCCCGGGACGCCATCCGCTCGGCCCGGTCCCGGAGCTTGGAGAAGCTGTTGTACATGTTCCGAACCAGCTCTCGGCTCGCCGCAAACTGGGCCTGGATGTCGGCCGGGAGCAAGTCCTGGGGGTGAGGAGGGAAGAAGGTCTACAGGCTGCTGCCCAGCAATGCCCGTCCACCATGAGCAGAGCTGGGCATGTGCAGACCTGGCCGGAGGCCCTGCTCTGCTCTCCAGGTGTGCCCTGACCATCTCTCCTCACCCACCATCAGACGCTGAGCAAGAACAGGATCAAAACCAGCCAGGCCACAGCCGACCAGTCAGTCCCAACTCGCAGCAACCCTGGAGGTGAGCAGTGAGTTAATCAAATGCTGAGCTGCTTACTGAAACGTTGATAGTTCAAACCCCACAGTCGCTCCCTGGGTGAAAGATGAGATGGCTTGTGTAAAGGTCACTGGCCTGGAAACCCTGCAGGCAGCTCTGCTCTGTCCTACAAGGCCCGTGGGAGTCACAATAGAACTCTGGGCTCATTAAAATGTGGTCACAGTGGCTGCCGCTGAGAGCTCGGCTCCAGGGAGCTGGAGCATCAGTTAAACTGCTTCCAGCCACTGATTTTTGGGAAGTACGTTGCCAGGCCTTTCTTTCGAGGTGCCTCTGAATAGCCTCAAACTGCCAAGCTTTAGGTCAGCAGCTAAGTGTATTAATCACTTGGACCATCCTGGACTCAGATCAAACTGGAGACCCTCAAATGACTGTAATATCTTTATATATAGATATAGATAGACAGAGAGACACTGCATTTAATTGAAAAGATAAGTGTTCTGTTACAAATGAAACAAAGGAATCAAAGCTGCACTGGCGAGTTATCCAGGTGAAGCAGAACTCCAGGGCACCGTGTCGGCCTCTGGGTGGCGCTCCAACAATGAGCAGCAGGAACGACAACTGAGCTCAGCACCGGGACTGTGCCTCCCGCAGACCCACCAGGGAGTGGATGGCACCATGTTTCTCTCGTCCCCCAAAGGGTTAGACAAGTTTTGTTGTTGCTGCTAGATGCTGCTGGTTCGAACTCATGCAACCCCATGTGACAATAGGGGGACCAAGCCTGTGATATTTATGAGACGCAGCCCTGGTGGCATAGTGTATAACTGAATGGTCAGTGTTTCAAATCCACCAGTTGCTCCAGAAAGAAAAAGATGGCAGTCTCTTCCCAATGGGGTTTAGAGTCTCAGAATCCCAACACAAGGCTATTAAGAGGCAGGATCGACTCCATGGCACGAAGGTTTGGGTTCATCTTTATGGGAATGAATTGCCAGGCCGTTTCTTCCATAGCACCATCAGGTAGGCTCAAACTGCCAACCTGCAGGTTATTGGTTGTTGAGTACCAGGCCTGTGAATTACCCAGAGACCTCTTCACAGCTTTGATATGAACTTCCTCTAACTATGGCGCTTACAGAACAGAAAGCATCAGGGAATAACAGAGCTGATGGAGACACAATTTCTAGACAGAAAGCAGTTTAAAAAGGAAACACAAAATATTAAGTAACTACCCTAATGGTTTATGAAAAACCAAAGCAGACCCACAGGATTTGAGTCAGCTCTGACATTACCCGCAGGACAGAGCGGAACTGCCCACAGCGCCCCAGGGCTGGACACCCACGCAGGAGCAGCAGACTGGGTTCAAACCACTGATCTTTGGTTGGTAGCCTAGAGTTGGGCCATGTGCCACCAGGGCTCCACTGGGGAAAAGGCAGCTGAATTAAGTTCTTTTTAAAGAAGATGGATTAATAGCAGTCACTGAAAGTCTGCAACACCAGGACGTCAGCTCATGCCCATTCTGAAGCCCGCGGGCCAGGAGAGCAAGGCAGGCTCTATTCACACCCGGCCCTGCCGCTCAGAACAGTCTCACTGAGCCGATTTCCTCATCTGTAAAATGGGCATAACATCACCTATGCTTCAAAACAGCTGTAAGTTAAATAAGAAAACTACACCTTGGCTCTCACCATATTTCTAGCATACCTCAGAGGCAAAATAACTATCATTAACTCTGACTTTAAACTTAAACTGAACATATCCCCTGAAGTCTTCTTCATACCACACAAGAGTTTGATTTCACAGATTTCTCTCTCCCGCTGACTGCACACTCTTCTTTCCTTCTGACTTTAACTCTTTGGTCTCTGTCTTGCTTTAGTAAACTTTAAAAAAAGAAGACCTACAACCAGGAGAAGATAAAATAGATGAAGGGGACATTCTAAGAATCAAATCCCTATGCACATCCAAAAATTTCTCCAACAGGGTAAAAGGGGAAGCCACAGACTGGGAAAAAGTATTTGGCAATGACATCTCAGATAAGGGACTTATATCCAGAATTTATAAAATACTTGAGCACCACAACAAGATAAAGGTAAATAATCCAATAGAAAAATGGGCACAGGATATGAACGGATACTTCACCAAAGAAGACATTCAGATGGCCAAGAAGCACATGAATAAATGTTCAAAATTCCTAGCTCTAAGAGAGGTGCAAATTAAAACAACTATGAGATATCATCTCACACCAGTCAGAATAGCAAAATTTAACAGAACAGCAAGCAACAAATGCTGGCGAGGTTGTGGAGAAACTGGAACCCTTATTCACTGTTGGTGGGAGTGTAAA